ATCTGAATAAAAAGTTGAATATTTAGCTGAAACTTTGCAGATGTTTCATAATTTTTGCACAAAGTTTGAAATGTGGATTTATATGGTGTTTGTTATATAATAAGCTAGACTTTTGTGGAAAAATAATAAACATTAAATAAACAAAAGAAAAATAGCCAAAATTTATCAAAATATTGCTGGCTTAATTAGCTGATCACAAGTGTATATATGCATATATATGTATATTTTAATACGTACATACAGTGACTCAAATCCAAAATGGAAACCCCCAAACAATTTTTTGTTAATATTTACAAATTTTTTTCATTTTCATGTTAAATAATTATTGTAATTTTTAATAAAAATATAGTTCATAGAACACCAAACCCAATTCCAAAGTTTGAAAAAAAATCTAGGAAAATTCGACAAAATTTTAAGAAAATTTCCAACTTGTTTATAAAANCAATATTATAATGTTAATTTATATTTAAAATAATAATTAAAAGTACATATACACAGATCAGCTAATTAAGCCAGCAATATTTTAATAAATTTTGGCTATTTTTCTTTTGTTTATTATTTTTCCACAAAAGTCTAGCTTATTATATAACAAACACCATATAAATCCACATTTCAAACTTTGTGCAAAAATTATGAAACATCTGCAAAGTTTCAGCTAAATATTCAACTTTTTATTCAGATGTTTTAGAATTTTTTTGAGTATGCAGTTTAATAGCCCATTAAATTCTAGGGTAATAATGTGCTAGTCAAAAAAATTCTAAAAAATCTGAATAAAAAGTTGAATATTTAGCTGAAACTTTGCAGATGTTTCATAATTTTTGCACAAAGTTTGAAATGTGGATTTATATGGTGTTTGTTATATAATAAGCTAGACTTTTGTGGAAAAATAATAAACATTAAATAAACAAAAGAAAAATAGCCAAAATTTATCAAAATATTGCTGGCTTAATTAGCTGATCACAAATGTATATATGCGTATATATGTATATTTTAATATGTACATACAGTGACTCAAATCCAAAATGGAAACCCCCAAACAATTTTTTGTTAATATTTACAAATTTTTTCATGTTAAATAATTGTAATTTTTAATAAAAATATAGTTCATAGAACACCAAACCCAATTCCAAAGTTTGAAAAAAAAAATCTAGGAAAATTCGACAAAATTTTAAGAAAATTTCCAACTTGTTTATAAAAAAGATTTTTTAGAAATACTTACACATTATACTAAAGTATAATGGGAGCAAAACTGCATACCAGAAATATTTCTGAAAGAACTGATCAAAAAGTTAGAAATTTTCATGAAAATTTCGTCGAATTTTCCTAGCTTTTGTACANATTGAAAATGTGAGATTTCAGCCAAGTTTCAGTAAAAGAAACAATATTATAATTTCACTCAAGGCCTTTAAGGTATAAGTTCGTTAATTTAGTAATTAAGCCTCCTACATTTTGGTAATAAATACTTAAAGCAGATTTAATAATTAGTTTTTTCATTCAGTGTTATGACGGGGAATATTTGCTAAGTTTAAAGTTAGTTGCAGCTTTTTTGACAGATATCCCATTGAAAATTATGTCAAAAAGCTGGAACTAACTTTAAAGTCGACTTTATTTTGACTATGACTACGGGCCAATATGAACAAGTCGCATAAACAGCTACTATGGAGCTTCAGCTTTAAAGTTTTCTCTCTATTGGCAACGCTACCACGATTGAACGCTTGGCCTGGAGTTCTGGGTTTACAGTAGAATAGAAAAGTAGCGGCAACCCTGTGAACAGCTTGACGTTTCCTCTATGTTGGCAACGCAGCCACTATTCAACTGTCATCTATTCCTTCTTATCCGTGACGTGTATTGTGAGTTGGGGAAAATTTTCAAGAAAATTGAAAAATTCTGGACCGAAATCCCCGCCCACAGCTTTATTCAAGCTTGTGACCAAGTCATTGTTTTGACGCCTTCCTAAAAATTCAAGAATCGAAGAAATATAAGGTTTAGCTTGAGAATTTGTCTTGCGAAAAGCGTAGACGGGCAAGAACAATTGGAAGCAAACGTCATAAGAACAAAGTATTGAAGAATTCGGAAGGAGTCGGTGTACGGGTTGGCTGTGCTTGTAGTAGTGGTTGTGCGGAAGATTAAGAAAATTGTTAGGCGAACAAGTGAAAATGAGGAAATAGTATTATCGACGTGAATTGCTGTTCGAAGGGCCGAAGTGGAACTTTTTGCAGATACGCGTTGGTAAAGTGCGTAATCGACGACTGGCCGACGTTGGAGTTGTGGTGCACTTTTACTTCAATTTTTGTTCACCTTTCTGTTTTATTTTGTATACGTATATGCTCCCCATAATATCTGACCCAAAAGACTTAGGTTAACAAATTGAAGGCAATAAAGTTCACACCTGATACTAACTGCTAACCCAAACCAGCGAAAACATGATGAATGAGGACACAAGTACGCCGTCGGGCGGTGGAGTGAAGATGTTTTTCGTGCGCCTATCACAAGTGAGAAAAAAGTCTAACGTAAAATTCTATTTATACTTGTAAACAAATTATTATCGCACAGATGTACCAATCGACCCTGGATCGTTGGACGCCACATACCAGAATGCGTTGGGCGGGTGCGATTCTGCTGATATTGCTCTTCCTGCTACGCATCTTCATTTACCAGGGCTGGTATATAGTATGTTATGCGCTGGGAATATACCATCTAAATCTGTTTATTGCATTTCTAACACCAAAAATTGACCCAGAATTTGATCCATACGAAAATGATGGTGAGTCAATTTTGTCTTATTCAAACTAAAAAGTGTTTTAAGGAAATGCAAAATAGTTTACTTCATATATGCGAAATTTTAATTCATGCTAGTGATTGTAATTTGTCTTCGCTAACAATAGAACAACAATATTGAGGCTATCAAGTTGCAAAAGGGGTGGGTAATTTGAAAATACCTTTTTAACAATTTGATGGGTTATTGATTTTTTGTAGCCTTGTCTTATCTTCACAAGGGGTTGGCTTGAAACATTTTTTTTGTTAAAATAAGCTTCGTGTAATAGGGTATACTTGCCTTCTAGAAAAGGGCTTAACGTAAATTTTCATTAGCATAATTTTAAGTTTCGACATTCTTCCAAGAATTCACTTAACTTTATTAAGTCGCAGATCGTGGGAAAGTAGTAAATTTATCTGCTTATCTGTTCTCATTCATAAAGCGCAATTCTGATTGGATGTTTAGGGTAGTCAATGCAACTACACATTATGACGGATATAGCCGGTATACATGCATATTTACGTGATGCATGGCTTTAGTATGTAAAAAAGGTTTTTTTAATTACCTAAAATTGAACGTTTATTGTCTTCTAATGTGCTAGTAACCCATGGCGCAAGTTACTGAACAACATAAAAACAAAAAAATCCTATAGAAATGATTTTTGAATGAAAAAAATCTGTTAAAAATTGATTAAAAAATCTTATAAAAAAAAAACAATTTCCTAACCTAAAAAAACGCCTTGGGGATTTGTTCAGGAATCATATTAGCTAAAATTTCCCGGGGAAGAGAATTAATCAAAAGTTTTTGCACAGTGCTATGCGGAGCAATAACATTTTGTATCGAAAAAATGATAATAATGATATAAACCCCGCCCAAAAATATGATCCGATCTCGTATTCGCTCAACTTTCTAGCTTTGCATAATTACTTTCCCTATAGTTGACCCCGTTATTTTAGAAAGTCAACATTAATTAGAGAGAATGAATTTCTTTGCTAGGAAATATGTAAATAAACCACACTAAAAATTTACTTATGTGCACTGAAATATACAAAGGTGACGACGAAAATTGTTACCCAGGATTTTTGAAAAATAAAAGGGTTACTTATAGATTTTGCGAAAACGGCATTTTATAGTTAATTATACACAGATTTTCCTTTAATTTTATTTGATTTACCAGCGATCAATACTTTGAGAGAAAAGCGCAGGCTAATTTCCTCCATTTTGAGTCCTTTATTCTACCCATTTGTTAAACATAAGGCCTCATATGCAGAAATCGAATAGTCTCGGAACCGGTGACTAGAACGGCCATTCATTAGACCAACCCTATATATACGTTTCCACGACAGTCGGGTCTACGTTAACCTAACGACCAGATTAATGTATGTGCATATATCTGGCCATGGACTGTTACTCTAGTATCAGTTCCCAAAAACGGTTTGGGGAATTTGTATGCTGCTACAACAACCACCAACCCTCTACATTTTTCTTTTTTTTTGTCTCTTTGAAATGAAACTTCTTTAGCGGCGGTTGGTTGGTTGGGAGTAAATTGACAAATTCGTCGGAAATTGCACGCGGAAATGGTGCAATGGGAATAGTTGGGGCTGAAACAATTGCTTCTTGAGTGAATGCACATGGTATTAATTTAACAAAAACTAGCTAATAAAAGGTTAAAGAATAACACTTAGAAAAATACCAATACAAGAATGAAAGTAAGGATAAAGGCAAAGGTAAAAATAAGAACAAAAACAAAGGCAAAAATGAAGACCAACGTAAATTTAAACACTTTACTTATATATTGGCAAAGGTGAAGGGAATATGTAGATGAAGAGAATGATACACGTAAAAGTAAAAACAAGGATAAATATAAAGAAAAAGATGAGGATACCGATAAAAGTAAAGATGAATATAGAGGAAGAAAGGTAGACACAGAGACTCAATGTGGAACTATTTTGGGATTTTAGAGATTTTCGAGATTCTCGGGACTTATCGATTTTTTAACGGTTTTTATCGATATTTTTATCGACTTTGTTATCGATATATTTATCGATTTTGCTACCAATATTATCGATTTTGCTGTAGAATTTTTTATCGAATTTGTCATGGATTTTGTTACCGATATTTTTATCGGTTTTGTTGTTGATATTTTGTTGGATGTTACTATTAATTTTGTTGTCGATAGAGTATAAAGCATAGGCATAACTAAGATTATATCTTATTGTACTAATGGTTATACATTTAATAAAGGAAATGAAATAACTAAATAATAAGAGAAAAGAATAAAAGTCGTTCAATAATCATTATATTAAGATAAATATTTTTCAAGTCATCTTATTTTATAAAAGTCCTTTCATAATAATTATCAGAGAGATAAATATTTTTCAGTCTTCAAAGACTTTTATTTTAAGACGTATATTATAAAAGCTTTTTCATAATAATTTTCATTGAGATAAATATTTTTAAGTCTGCAAAGACTTTTGTTTTAAGACTTATATTATAAAAGTCTTTTCATAATAATTATGAGCGCGAAAAAAATTTCAAAGTTGTTGTAATTGAATAAAATACTTTTTAATATTTTAACGTTATGTACACGACGAATAACTGTTACCCAGTTTTTTTTAGAAATCAAAGGGTTCTTTATAATTTTGCGAAAAAAGTACTTTATTGTTAATTTTCCACAGATTTTACTTTAGTTGTATTAATTAGTTTTTAAATTTTAATCCTTATTTACATTTGCCAGCCGTGTAAACTATGAGTGGAAAGTTCATTTGGCACGCAGCTCTTTGTCAGTTAATTTTTTCCATATCTTCTGTAACCATCCGCTAATTTTCTCCATTTTGAGTTCCTTATACTCGCCCTTTTGTCCAACACCAGGAAGTCGAAGATTTGTTCCGAATGCCATTTCAGCTGGAGAAAAACCAACGTCTTGAATAACATTTGCGTGCAAACCCATCGTGACAAAAGGTAATGAATTCACCCAATTGCTCGATTTTTGTGATTTCAAAGCAGCTTTCAAAGTCCGATGCCACCTTTCAATTTGTCCATTGCTTTGCGGATGATAAGGAGTTGTATGTGTTACCTTTATTCCAAGCATTTTATACACGAAAAAGTACTGATTCAAATTGACGGCCTTGATATGTGATAATATGAGCTGGCACACCATAACGAACAACCCATCCAGAAAAGAACGCATAAGCATAAGTGAAATTACCAAGAGGACTTTTTACGTGACGATTAATTTTAGATTTTTGACAAGCAATGCATGATTTAGTCCATTGACTTACATCTTTTGATATAGATAGCCAAACAAAACGACTTCGAAGTAAATTTACTGACGCTCGCACTCATGGATGTGCATGTCCATGAATACTTTCGAAGAGAGGCTTTCGAAACTTTGGAACAATATACGGCCGTATGTTTTTTGTAGAGACATCACAAAAACTTCAACATCCACTTCTGGAATTTTGGTTTTTCTTTTAAATCAAGACTACAATTCGCTGAACTTATAAAAGTTTTCAATTCTGGATCCGATTATTGTGCCAAAGCTAATGCGCTGTAATTTAACGGCGACGGCATCATTATAACATCCACTCTAGATAAGGCACCTGCTACAATATTTTCTTTTCCAGAAACATGACGTATATCAACTGTATGCTGGCCGATGTAATCTAATTGCCTTAGCTACCTCGCTGATGCTTTTTCGGGCTTTTGTAAGAACGCGTATATAAGAGGCTTATGGTCTCTATATGTAGTAAATTTCCTACCCTCTAAAAAATATTGAAAATGTTTCAAGGCTGAGTAAGCTGCCAAAAGCACGCGATCATAAGCGCTGTATTTCATTTGCGTAGGAGTTAATTTTTTAGAGTAAAAAGCAATCGGTTTCCTGTTACCATTTATCTGTTGTTTTAATACACCACCCATTCCAGTATCTGAAGCATATATCCACAGCGAAGTTGATGCATTAAGAGAAGGATACGCTAAGAGTGTTGAACAAGCTAACTGTTCCTTACATTCCTGAAAGGCGGCAGAAAATTCTTTAGTCCATTGAATTTTGCTATTATCACCCTTTTTATTTCCGCTGTATAATGCATGTAGTTTTGATTGATGATACGCGACTTTGGGAATGAAACGGCGATAAAAGTTTAACATACCCAAAAATCGTCGTAGATCTTTTACCGTTTCAGGAGTTTTGTAATTTATTATAACAGCAACTCGGATACGGTAAAGGCTTTACACCAGAGGTTCCCAAACTTTTTTCCCCCGTAGACCCCTTTCAAAGCCTTACTGGTAACGGTGGACCCCCAGCTGCTACATTTCAAACATATTCCCAAAGCTTATCAAAAAATTTGAAGACTAGATCTAACCATGTAAATTTGCATCGCAGGTGAGTTCAAAAACTATATTCGGAGTGGCAAAAATAAAAATAAAGTATTTCTTGTGTTCTCTTTATTAAAAGAATGTAACTATACAATTGCAAGTTTTAAAAAACAGAGCTCGTAAAGTGATCAAAGTTCTCTCTCGCTCTGAGGAGTTGTATTTTTTAAGAGAACTCCGAGCGCTAGCATTATTTACATTTTTTTTTGGCAACACCTCCCTCCTCACATGTTTGGCTCACTCATGGATTTGCATTTGGTGTATTGGTAGAATAGTTTATTTGTGTTGATGGTATCATTTTTATTTTTATCACTCCCAGTTTTAAAATTATGAAAATGCTTGGTTTGAGCCAGTTCTGGCCAAATGGGTAGATGTCTCATTACCAACTCCCGAATGACCTAGTACCCAGAGTAAAGCAAGCTCATTATGTTTACCAACATGAAGTAATAACATAAGTGGAGACTTGCATTGCCGAACTAGTTAGGAAGTACTTTGATAGAGGGCTGGTCAATGCCTTAAGTGCAGCCTGGCTGACACTTCAGATATGTAAACTCCTTCCCCTCTACCTATTTTCCACCACGTAGTCCATGGATTTGAAGAGCGCAAATACCTCAGCCTGGAAGACTGGGGTACATTCC